AGGTGAGGGTTATAGAGCAAGCCTGTGGGGGGCGGTACTCCCCACAGAGAGGGATCAGGAAGAACCCTAGGAGAGCAGCTGGAGACAATGCCTGAAAGGAAGCTGTCGCAGTGCCCGGTGTGGCCAATGGATGGAGCAAGAATGGCTCCAGTGCCCTGGACTGAACAGCCAGCAGGGAAGGATGGCCTGAGGTCAGAGGAGTGTGAGAAAGTAGAGATCTTTTGCAACGTCAACTAAAACAACCTAACCATGTCGTCAGGATTGTTATGAACACTCTATCTTGCCAATACACGTGATTTTCTGTTATTAAAAAAACCCCATGAACTAGATAAACAATCCAATCAAAAAATGGGCAAAGACACTTTCAAAAGTGGACATACAGAAGGCTAAGAGGCATATGAAAAAATGCCCAAAGTCACTAATCATCCAAGAGATGCAGATCAAAAGGACAATGAGGTATCGTCTATACCTGTCCAAATAGGCATCCTCAACAAATCAACAAACAACAAGTGCTGGCGAGGATGCAGAGAAAAAGGAGCCCTTGTGCACTGCTGGTGGGAATGCAGACTGGTGCAGCCACTGTGGAGAACAGTATGGAGTTTCCTCAAAATTTTAAAAATGGAACTCCCATTTGACCCAGTAATGCCACTTCTAGGAATGTACCCCAAGAAATCAGAAATACCAGTCAGAAAGAATATATGCACCCCTATGTTCATAGCAGCACAATTTACAATAGCTAAGACTTGGAAACTGCCCATCAGTAGTGAGTGAATTAAAAACTGTGGTACATCTACACAATGGAATACTATGCTGCTGTAAAAACAGAAAGAACTTTTGCCATTTGCAACAGCATGAATGGACCTGGAGAGCATTATGCTAAGTGAAATAAGCCAGAAAAATAAGTATCACATGATCTCACTCATTTATAGAATAAAATGAACAACATAAACCGATGAACAAAAACAGATTCAGAGACAGAGAAACATCGAACAGACCCGTCAAAATCACAGAGGGAAGACCTGGGAGGGTGGTGGTAAGAGATCAACTAAAGGACTTGTATGCATGCATATGAGCATAACCGATAGGCACAGACAGTAGGGGGTAAGGGCCTGTGCTGGGGGGGAGGGAGCCGGCTGGGAGAGAATGGGGGAAAAAAGGAGATCATGGAATACTTTTTAACAATAAAGAACTTAAAAACAAACGAACAGCCGAAACCGGTTTGGCTCAGTGGATAGAGCGTCGGCCTGTGGACTGAAGGGTCCCAGGTTCGATTCCGGTCAAGGGCATGTACCTGGGTTGCGGGTACATCCCCAGTGGGAGATGTGCAGGAGGCAGCTGATCGATGTTTCTCTCTCATCGATGTTTCTAACTCTCTATCTCTCTCCCGTCCTCTCTGTAAAAAATCAATAAAATATATTTTAAAAAAAAAACAAACGAACAAAAAACCGTAGAACTCACTCATTTGGTAAAAACATCACACAAAGTGATTATCCCAATTATTTCCTAAACTCATTGTTTGAAGGAAAAAAAAGCAACTTTGAAATATACTTACTCTTTTTTTAAAAAATATATTGATTTTTTACAGAGAGGAAGGGAGAGGGATAGAGAGTTAGAAACATCGATGAGAGAGAAACATCGATCAGTTGTCTCCTGCACACCCCCTACTAGGGTTGTGCCGGAAACCAAGGTACATGCCCTTGACCGGAATCGAATCTGGGACCCTTCAGTCCACAGGCCGACGCTCTATCCACTGAGCCAAACCGGTTAGGGTTACGTACTCTTCTTCTTAACACATTAAAAATTCTTTACGATCTTTCCCTTTTCCCATACCAGTCACCTGAAGAAATTGATAAGGAGGAAGTTCACCACCCTGACTCAGCAAGGAAAAGGGACCCAGAGGAAGAGGACACAAATGTGTACACCGAGAAGCACCCAGACAATCTGTTTAAAAGAACAGAAGTCCTGGCAGGTGAGTCGCCTGGCAGGGGGCAGGGGAGAGGGTCCTTAAATGGGCCTCTCTGTCTAAGTGAGGTTCAGGGGTGAAGGCAAAGTTTGCTGAATGTCACCTTTCTATGGAAAGCAGCCTGGAGGGGGTGGGGGATGGGGAAGGGAGCTGGTCTCATTCCAGAATGAGAGGCAAGAGTTAGGCAAATGTCCTTACTTTCTGTCCACTCCCTCAGGCTCGCCCTAGGCCGGCTGTTGTCGGGAGCTGCGGGTGGGGGCAGAAGAGGAAAGTTAAGGTCTGAATTGGTCAGAACAACTGGGCGTGGGGGAGGGCAGGATGTGAAGATCCAGTCAGTCTTGCTCCAGGTCATTCTCAACGTAAATGAAAGAGAACCGACGTTTCTTCCTGGAGCAGGCAGTTGACACGAGTAACACCCAAGGCATGGCGGATGTTGCTCTCTCTCATTGTGACGTATCTGATGAAAGTGTGAACATTTGATTTTAAAGGGGACGACTGGCAAGATTTAAGAACACGATATCCTTGAAAGGATAGCCCCAGATTCAAGTCTAGAAAAAAAAAATTTGCCAGCTTTTTTTTCCCTACTCTTACAAAACTTAAGTAAATCCTGTCATGTTTTGTTTTCATTGGAAAAGCAGTTCGCAGATGAGACTGTGAAATGTGAGAACTTGAAAAGGCTAAAGAATCTTATTAGTTGAGCCTCACAGCTAGATTTTTCTTTAATGAGGCTTTTGGGTGATATTATTAATACAAATCAAAGACAGTTTGGTACCTTCCTGAGGAATGTCAGATTTGCACAATTGCCCGGTTGCTTCGTTGAATCCAGGTTTTAACATTTGGGTTTTTTTCCCCCCTCCACTTAAGCCTTTTATGAAAGTGTTGTGAAATAGGTGGGGCTTGACAAAGCTGCTTCTGCAGCCCCCGAATCTCTTCTGAAAGCAGTCTCCCCTTTGGTGTGTTTCAGCCGTCATTGCTGGCGGAGTGATTGGCTTCCTCTTTGCCATTTTCCTGATCCTGCTGTTGGTGTATCGCATGAGAAAGAAGGATGAGGGCAGTTACGACCTAGGAGAACGCAAACCATCCAGCGCGGCTTACCAGAAGGCACCTACTAAGGAGTTTTATGCGTGAAACTCCCACTGAGTGTCTCTATTTATGAGATCACTGAACTTTAAAAAATAAAGCTTTTGCATAGAATAATGAAGATCTTTGTTTTTTTGTTTTTGTTTTTGTTTTTTTTTCATTAAAGAGCCATTCTGGCACTTTAATGATAAAACCCCATTGTATTTAAAACTTTACATGTATTTTCTTTAGAACAACATAAAGTTAAAACTTAACATCTGCAGTGTTCTGTGAATAGCAGTGGCAAAATATTGTTATGGAAATTCTCAATGTTCATGGAATCGGTGTAAACTTCTATGCGCAAATGATTGTTTTTCTTCAGTGGTTCGTAGATGAACGCTGTTTCATTTGTGTCAGCATGTCTCCGATGGACCTAGCCAAGTTGGTCTTACTTTGTTAATTTATCTGTTGTTCCCTTCTTCTCCCCAGCTCTCCCCTTGTGTCCCGTGAAAAACAAAACAAAACTCTACACCTTTTGTAGCTGTTACGGTGCAATTTGTCTTTGGATAATTTAGATAAGGGTAATTTAGTGTATATGTGATTTTCAAATATGTAAACTTTAACCTCCACTTTGTATACATTTTTTTTAAGTGTCAGACTATCCATTTTACACTTTATTTTTCATTACCTGTAGCTTCAGGCAGATTTGCAAGAGCAGAGTAATGTGTAAAATTGGATTATTACCAGAAAACTGTTTAGTCTTATCGAATCAGATCTTCTTTTGGGGGGGATTTGATGTGAGTTACTGACAAGCCTCAGCAAACCCAAAGATGCTAACAGTATTTTGAGAAGTTGCTGCAGATTCCTTTGGCCACTGTATTTGTTAATTTCTTGCAATTTGAAGGTACGAGTAGGAGTTTGAGGAAAAAATCAGTTTTTGTTCTTAAAAAATGCATTTAAGTTGTAAGCGTCTTTTTAAGCCTTTGAAGTGCCTATGATTCTATGTAACTTGTCACAGACTGGTGTTAATGAGTATATATAACAGTTAAAAAAAAGTTGGTATTTTATAAGCACAGACAATTCTAATGGTAACTTTTTGTAGACTTATGAATAGACATAAATTGTAATTTGGGAACATAAAAACTACTGAATAAATCATGTGGCCTCATAATGGAAAATGTCGCTGTTATAAATTTTGCACATTTCGATCAAATGTACATCTCCCCGTGGCTAATGACGGTCTGCTCTCAGGGATGATGTGGGATTGATTTCTGAGTGGTCCACAGCGTCTAAGTCACAACGCGAAAGCTCCTCATCGAGGCTCTTAGATTCACCTCCCGATGGGCCAGAGGAAATCTGAAGGTATCATCCTGTGTGTGTTGGGGCGTGGATATTAGAAGGCTGCCAGGATGGGAGCTGAAGTTTGCAACCTTTACAGGATAGCTGCTGGCAATATGGAGACAGAGGCCTGCTTTTGCAAACAGTTTTTAGGGCTATAAATTCCAAAGAACTGAAGGGAGCTTTCTTGACGTTGGTATCTGAGATTTCATTTTTCTTGTTAATCCTTTCTTGAGGATATTTTCCCATTGATTTGTTTTTTGTTTTTTTTGGTTTTTTTTTTTTAGAGAGATTGGAAGGGAGTGGGGGAGAAACATCAATGTGAGAGAGACACATTGATTGGTTGCCTCCTGCAAGCGCCCAGACGAGGGATTGCACCTTCCACCAAGGTATGTACCCTTGACCTGAATGGAGCCCAGACCCCTTCAGTCCACGTGCCGATGCTCTGTTCACTGAGCCAAACCAGCTAGTGCTGAGATTTAGTTTGATAGGTTAATTCACCTTCGAAACTGAGCTCCGACTCTCTCCTGCAGCCTAAGTGAAGCCCTAATAAATGGAACGCCATCATTTACGCCATCGGGAAGGAGAGAAGGGCGGGAGGCTGTGTATGAAAAGGAGGCCTTTGCTGCTTGGGGTTGACACTGCAGCCAGCAGTGATGTCTGCGGGGGAGATGGAAGTCTGAGTCCCCTGCCTGGGTACTTTTTTCTAAGGAAACATTTCCTTTTTCTACTTTACCATTTATTTTCTCTTACATTGTGGGCTGCCAGAATAGGGAGAAGATGGCAGAAACAGTAACCTTTCCAACATAGAATTTACTTTCAATAAATATGAATACTTCATTTAGAGAACAATTCCCTGGAATTGCCACAGGGCTCATTTCTTTAAAAAAAAAAAATGTAAAGCAACACTTGGAACAGTGTTTACTTAAATCTTAGTGGCCCGAATTCTCAAATTCCTGTCCGCCACTTGCAGAATCAGTCTGCTCTGGAGGGATTAAAAGGCAGTGATAGCAGCTTCTAAAGCTGCACAGTGCCCCTCCGTTCAAGGCGAAGGATCTAGTGAGCTTACCTCTCCCAGCACAGGGCCTAGTGGAAGTCAGTTTGTAGAATAACAACTGCTGGGAAAATCTATGCCAGGAAGAGAACATTTCTAGCGAATATTTTGTCACTGCTGTAAAGCAAAATATTTGTTCAAGTGCCAAAATAAAGTCTGTCATGCTGGAAGTAAAAACCATTGTATACACAGACATCCAGTTCTCTTCCACTGTGTGTTTTCTGCTGAGTTTCTTTTCTTACTTTTAAGATGCAATAAATAGCGCTATAGAAAGTGTGAGTGCTGATTACCGAGTTCAGGAAAAGTTTGGTCCACTCTTCAGTATGACAGCCAATATGAAAATGTCCTGTCTTCTTAACCACGTGTCAATGGTTTCCTTTGTGTGACTGGCCTTGTGTTCGGGAGACCTGCAGAATTGAAACTCCCATTTTCAGCAGATGGGGGGACATGGGGTGGGCTCAGGATAGAGAGCTAGAAACATCGATGAGAGAGAAACATTGATCAGCTGCCTCCTGCACACCCCCTACTGGGGATGTGCCCACATCCAAGGTACATGCCCTTGACCGGAATCGAACCGGGGACCCTTCAGTCCGCAGGCCGACGCTCTATCCACTGAGCCAAACCAGTTAGAGCCTGAGATACACTTCTTTTTTGCAAGTTAGACAAAATGCACCTGCTTATTGAGGATGCAGTCTCTTCCTATAGGGTTTAGGAGACTAAGCTAAATAAGTAGAACATAATCCCCTTATTCTCGTTGCCCTAGGACAGGGGTGGGGAACCTTTTTTCTGCCAAGGGCCAGTTGGATATATATAATAACATTATTCATGGGCCATACAAAATTATCAACTTAAAAATTAGCCTGCTATCTTTGGTCAGACATTTAATGACCTCACCCTTAATGCGTTGGCAGGGCCAGACCAAATGATTTCTTGGGCCTTATGTGGCCCGTGGGCCAGATGTTCCCCTCCCCTGCCCTAGGAGGTTTCTCATGAAAAGGAATCAAGCCAGATGATAAAAACAGTTGAGTAAACACGAGAGTTTTTTTTAGTGCTAATATTTTATTACAATAGTGAAATTTGAGATTTGGCCATTTCTGGGGAATTAGATTTTGCTGGCATAGAAAACTTTAAAAAGGATAGAACAACTGTTTGCCATTTAGTGGTAAAAACAGTATTAACATGAATTTTGTCCCTCCCACCTAACTCTGGGTGACTTCATGCTTATGTTTTTGGTTCAAAGCTTTCATTCCTTTTTTGTTTCTCTGCTGCATGTGGTATTTAGCAGGGCCTTTTCTGACCAAGGAATCGTGGTCGCTTTGGGAGCAACGTGGTGACCTAGGAGTTAGCTGGAAGGGTGTAACCCAAGTGGCAGCGTGAAGCTTTAGGCTTCTGGTGTTCAGATGTACTGAGCGCATACTAACTCATTCCAGGTGCCTTGGCAAAATAGCATTCAAGCAACAGATGCCGTATGTGCGAGGCATCAGAGGTTTAACCAACAGATATTTGCCTACTGGCTCTGCCTGGAGCCCTCTTCTAGAAGCTGCGGGTTGGGAGGGGGGAGGTGAGTGCACTAAGTAGATAGAGCCCTGCTCTCATGGGGTTTGAGAGGGGTACATAGTGGAAAGAAAGGCAATAAATAAAACCAGTGGGAATTATCAGTCAGGGGTGATTTCCATGATGGCCATGGTGCAGGCTAATGCCAGGGACTGAGGACGCTGCCAGCCCAGATGGGCTGGGCACGCTGCAGTAACCGTCTTAAAGTCTCAGCGACTTACAATGGCAAAGGCTGACTTCTTGCTCAGGCAACGTGTCGTGCATTGGCAGATCTCTGAATAATCGTCACCCTCTGCCCAGGACTCAGGCTGATGGAGCAGCCACTATCCTGAACGCTGCCCGTCACTGTGGTGGAGGGAAAATGGTGAAGCACACAGTGGCTCTTAAGGGTTCCACCCAGTAGTGACATGTCTCTCCCACCCACATTTTATGGGCCAAAGCAATTCATGTGGCCACACCTACCTTCCCGGGTACCTAGAAGTGCCCTCCTACTCTGTGCCCAGAGGAGAGAGATGGGATATGTGTGACCAGCTGTAACTACTACAGCCTGGTCAGAAGGGATCTCTGAGGCGGGAGAGGGGAGAGCTGGACAATGTGGAGCCAGTTGTGCTAAAACCAGGACGAGCATTCTAGGCTGTGGGAAGCCCTAACCAGGGGAGGGTCCTGACATGTTGGAGGAATGTAAGGCCGGTGGCTGTGGAACAAGGGACAGGGGTACAACAGGTGGGATGATGGGCTGAGGAGTGTAATTGCCTTATTTTTTGTTAGGAACAAAGGAAGCGAGGCTGATCTTTACCATATAAATGATTTTATGTTACTCCCTTCAATGGCTCCTATAACACTTAGAATAAACTCCTGACTCCTTACACTTGATCTCCAAGAACTGACCACTGGCAGGTGCCTTATAAGGAGACAGCGGGGTAGCATGGCCAGTTAGGAAGCCGTTATTGTTACTTTGGGAGAATGGTGCCGGCTTGGCCTCTGGTGGTGATAGCAAAGGTGGCGAGGACTGGAGGAACTGCTTTGGGAGGTAGAAGCAACAGTCTTACTAAAAGGTTGGAGGGAGTAGGGAGTAAGGAAAGAAAGGAAGCAAAGATGACACCCATATTTTTGGCTGAGCTTGGTGAGTCCCCTCTTAAGAGGGGCAACGTGGGGGAGTTCTGATTGGGCCAATTAAATTCGGACTATAGGCACCCAGGTGAACAGGTGAACAACTGAAAGAAAGAATCCGGAGCTCAGAGAAGAGGTCTGAACCGGAGGCATTAATTGAGAAGTAGTGTCCACCCCTGGCCTGTTGGAATGCTGAATTATTTCCTTCTCCTACCTGCTCTTCTCTGTATAGAAGTTAGAGTGGGGAGAGGGATGACCCATGCGAACTACATTTCCCAAGCTTCTTTGCCAGTGGCTTGCGGGAAAGTTTGGCCAATAGGAAGTACTGGTAGAAGAAAGGCTAAAGGTCAGGAGGAAGGGAGAGGCCAGAGTACTTTCCCCTCTCCCTCTGTGGGCAGCTTCTCTGGCATTAATGGGTCTCCTCTGTGGTTTGGATTCCCAGGGGACAGACTCTCCTGCCAGCTCCCAGCTCCCACGGCTCCTAAACTCTCGTATACCTCACTTTCCGAACCTCTTTTTTTTTTCTCTGCCCTGGGCGCGCTCACCCTCCCCAGTTTGCCCTTCCAGCTTCCCCAGCATCTTTGTAAGTAATTCCCTGGACTAAATTCCCTCTAGGCATCGCCGGCATGGGTTCCATTTCCCTCCCTGGACCCCCACTGATGACACAGGGGTGAACAGCATGTAGATGGAATTAAAAGCCGTGGGACTACAGGAGAAGGTCTGCAGAGGTAAGTAGATAGAGACGGCGGATGGCCCTGGGTCTGCTTTCTAGCAGTCTGTCTTTGTCGATGAGCCATTTCATTACCAGACTCACTCCTTAGCTCTGCTCACAGGACTGGGTTTTCATGTTAGCAGATGCTTAGCAAGAACAATTTTAAGTGCAAAGGGGGGAAATCTCCATAATGTATCATAGAGCACTCATTTTTGGGCAAATTAATAAGCATGTTAATGTATCCACTTCTGCCAGGTCATTAATAACATACAGCATGAACTGTCTTTTTTATATATCTTAAGTGATTGGGCCCAGGAGGAAGAACTACTTGAATATTTAGGAAGTATCTCTATTATCTGTGTTTAATAAGAAAATAGCGAACAAAACAGCAGTTCTTCTGCTC